GTTGGACTAGCAACTTGCATCATGAGATTAAACCTCGTTTTTTCTACTAAGTTAATAGGCCCGTTTTATTCATTTTCAGATAAACTTGCTGGTAACTATCTGCAAGATAAATTTACCGTTCTAGAATTCTATTGGTCGGTGAATAACTGGCCGACCAGTGGGATTGAAGATTGCGTTTTTATCCGTCAGATTGTATACCTGACAGTTTATCAGAAGGTGAATAAACCGGCCCTTAAGTCTTTTGCTAGGAGAGTTTATTTTGCACTTGTCGAGTCACGTTTGCGGTATGGTATAACGTGTTGCGCACTCCAATTTTCTGTTCATTTTAGTTACCTTGGTTTGGGTTCTAAAATATGGAAATAATTATGATACTATCAATCATAATTATGCAAGTCCGTGTTTGCTGATCTCAGCTGGGCATCATCCAGCATTTTGCATCATGGATCATAGATCGAGATTTTTGAAGTGAAACTTCTTAGGCGGCGGACTGATACGTTCAGGCCCATTATGTTACACAAGAGAGACGAAAGCTATACCGTAGAGAGACGGAGAAAGACGGGAAGCGCCACGTTTTGGCAAATTTCGTTACACGAGAGAGAAGAAAGATATAACTTAAAAAGACGCAGAAAAACAGCCATATATTGGGGGTGTGACGATACTTAACAATTACAGTTGACGAACGAATAACGATTGACACAAACCAAGGATTATATAAGCAAAGAGGATTGCCTATTATTGCCAAGCACTGATACTCTTGTGACGTCACTGCAGATGGTCTTTCGTCTTTACCCTGACTCATACGCTAAGTATTTAAGTTTTATGAGGGGGAATAGTTTTCAAGAAGTTTCACTTGTTAACACGTGTATGATAAGGCTTATGATTTTTTTTGAAGTGAAACTTCTTAGGCGGCGGTCTGATATTTAGGACGAGAATTATAGATAGTGAAATTTTAACGAAGCGTAACGTTTTGACAAATTTCTTTACACGAGAGAAAAGAAAGATATAACGCACAGAGACGGAGAAAGACAGCCATATATTTGCGGTGTGACGAAACTTGACAATGACAGTCGACGAACGAATGACACAAACCAAGGATTATAAGCGAAGAGGATTGCCTATTATTGTCAAGCCCCAGTACTCTTGTGACGTCACTACCTACACATGCACGTCTCCCTTCTGTGTGGTCTTTTATCTTACCCCGACTCATACGAGTCATACGCTAAGTAAGTCTAAAAGTTGTATGAGAGGGAAATAGTTTGTAAGAAGTTTGACTTCAATCAATCAATCAAAAAGTACTTTAATTTCTATAATACCCTTCAGGCGAAATATATCCCTCGGGCCAGAAGCCCTCGTGCTAGTTTCGCCTTCGGGCAATCAAAAAAATCACTGTCCACTGACTAGCAAACAGCCTGTCAGAATTAAGGGCTAAAATACTTTACTTAACAGGTATTATACTTAAAAACCATAAAAACTATACCAATCTAGAACAATACAAGATATCTTGAACTGTCAAAGGCTCCCCTCCCGTTCAAAGAACTCATCTATCGTTTAATAGGCTTTCTAATTCAAAGAACTCCTCAGTACCTGTCGAAAGGCCTTAAGCGATTGTATGCCTTTGGTCTGCGGATCAACATAGTTATAAATTTTAACACCAATGTAAATGAGCGACCTCTTTATCAGTGTTGAGTGAGGGGCTGGCAATGAGTCATTGGATGTGAGTTTGATAGGTTGCGCACAGCCCTCTTTCGCAGCACGAAAACGGACTGGAATTGGTGCAGGAAACATGTTCCCCAGAATGATAAGGCATATCTGAAGTGTGACTCCACAAGAGCAAAATACACGTTTCGGGCAACCTCTCCACCAAGTTCGCGAAAGGTGACACGCACGCAGAAACAGCCCTGATGCCAGTTTCTTATTGAGTTTGGCAATATAGGCTTAACATGTGTCCGATGAAGCCAACCAATGGTTACATAGGAATGAAAGTATTGAGAGAGAGGAAGCAGACTGAAAGAACCTAGGAAAATAGTGAAAGGGTAGAAAACATTATTGGAAATATACGATCTCAATAATCTGTGGATATTTGGAAACACACAAAAATTTGCCATTCTTCAATCTTTCACTACGTTGATAGGTCTGTTTCTGCAGAAATCACAAACCAGTCAGAGCGAATTTCATTGGTTGAAACTAGTTTTCTGACTGTTTTCAACCAATGAAATTCGCTCTGCTGGTTTGTGATTTCTGCAGAAACAGACCTGATAATGTTACTGTCATACAGTTTATTTCCAAATAATTCATCGATTGCGACAAGATTCCTCTCAAATCCAGATACCCATATTTGAAATGAGATGTGTAATTCCAGGTTCAGGCCGCCCAATATAATGTGCGAGAAAAAAAAGGTAATCTAGTTAAAGCTTTTTCTAATTGAGACAAGCTACTTCGCATCCTGTTCCGGTATAATTTTCGTGGATACAGGAGTAAAATTTAATTCAGGAGGCCTATCAGCAAGGGATTTTTGACGATTATGCTTTCCAGCAAGACAGGACTCTATCACACTTGCCAAAAAAGAAGACAGTTTTTGCCTGAATATTATCCAAAATGTAGCCAAGTTCCCAGATCTAAAACCAGTTGATAATAAGATGTGAGGAATGAGCCAACAGGTAAAAATTTATCAAAGAATGATGAAAAAAAAGTCCATTGGTTTGAAAAACAGAAGGGTTTAGAAACTGGTAACAAAATAGTTATTTATGGAACAAGTGTGTAAAGTGAACCTTTTTTCAAGGCGAGTGCGACAATCACATGAGTGAAAAAAGGTGCTTTACGCACGTATTGCATACAAATTTTTTTCTACTACCAATCAAATATGTGTGAAAAAATATATTTAGACAAATTCTTTACGTACAGGGTTACTGGTTATAAATGTCACCCCCCTCTATCTTTTTTATTTGACATTTTAGAAAAAAGTGTCCCAAATAAAAAATGTATGGTTGAAATAAAATTTTTTGAAAAACTTACTTTTGCATATATAGGGTGTTTCAAAAAAGCTGGTCGTCCTCCAACTTTCCTATTTTAAATTGAATACCCTGTATATTATTCAATATTCGGATTCTAAGTCAAATTCTGAGCAGATTTCTTTAATATACCCTATACCCTGTTTTGGAAATATTGACAGTTGAAAATTGACTTTTTTGCAAATTTGACAGGCTGTAAAACTTAAATGGTTAACTTTTGAGCAAAACCGATCTTACATTTTTTTCTAAGATTTTCGCAAGTTTTTGACACCAACTTTAAATTTAACCGAAGATTAAATTTAATTGGAATTTTTAATCATGGATTAAATTCAAAGTTGATGTCAAATATTGATGTCAACTGGTAGTTTATAAAAATCTAAGATAAAAATGTAAGATCGGTTTTGCTCTAAAATTAACCGTTTAGGATTTACAGCCTGTCAAAGTTGCAAAAAAGTCAAATTTCAACTGTCAATATTTCCAAAACAGTTGAACTTAAGTATAGGGTATATCACATGAAATCTGCTCAGAATTTTACGTAGAATCCGAATATCTAATAATAAACAGGGTATTCTATTTGAAATAAGAAATTTGGAGCACGACCAGCTTTTCTGAAACATATGCGAAAGTGAGTTTTTCAAAAAATTTAGTTTCAACCATAAAACTTTTATTTGAGACACTTTTTTCTAAGATGTCAAATAAAAAAAATAGAAGGGGGTGACATTTATAACCAATAACCCTGTACTAGTGCGTAAAGTATTTTCACTTTACGCACTAGTGCGTGAAGTAATTTACCAGAAAAATAGTAGTTTGACAGTGTCGACATCTGTCATTGAAATCACTTTACGCACTAGTGTGTGAAGTGAAATACTTTACACACTAGTGCGTGAAGAGAAACTTTACGTCTTCTGAATAGTGCGTGAAGTGAGTACTTTACGCACGGTAGTAGAAAAAGTGTTTTATTCTCTAAAAAAAAAAAAACATCTAAAGAGAAGCTTTTCTAAACGACGAAACATCCTTTTTACCGACATTGACTCGACTAACTAAAGACTAATAATCACACTCTCCTATTGTATTTCGTCAAACAATAGTTTATTTTTTTCCGGAAAAATTACGTGATTCATTTAGTTTATTATAGTGTATACCCACATGCATGACAAACATCATAATAATAAACAATTCACTGGCAAGTGCAGTTGATTTTTATAAGCTCTAGACTAGTCGGCTTTACATGATTGTTTATACATGTTGGTGGTTGAAATTTTAATAAACACATATTTCAAGCTTAAAATATTATAGAAAGATTTTCTTATTGTTGAAATAGCCCTACAAAAATGACTTATCCAAAAAGTTCATTTATAAACCATGGATCTTTAGAATCAGGCATCAAATTGAAGAAAAAATACTTTCTTTGTTTGTTATCATACCATTTTTCATTAGGGTGACTAGCAATTATCATAACCAAATGCTGTATCTTGCAAATACCCCTCTAATGGAGTTTCCTTACCTGCCTATGTTATACATGAACTCTTAATTTTTATCCTAAAACCATTACCTGAAGACTAAAAAACGGTTGTTATTTCAATTTTTTGTCTTTGAAACTCCAGGTCCTACCGAAGCCAAATGGAATTTTGAAGCAATACCAGGGTAGAACGGATTATCGATGTACACAGTGGCAGTGTGGTTAGCTGGTTGTGAAATTTAACCACGGCCACTATCCATACTACCCTTGTGTTTATCGTTAAAGCGACTCATCCAGCTTGAAGAAGACATCATTCTACCCAAGGCACACACGGAATACCCTGCTACATAAGTCTGCAGTTTATTTAGTAAATAGTACTTAATAGCATTATTGAGAAAAGGTGTCCAACAAAGGGCCTTGAAATCATCTAGCGCCCCTAGGGCCTCCTGCCCTGATTCTACCTTACAAAAACTTGAATTTTTGTTTAATTTTTTTTTTTTTTTAAATTCTTATCCCCTTTTTTATGTTTACAGGGCAGCCTACGTATCGTTTGGAGGACTACTGATGAGACTCCAAGGAGATGCTAACAATTTGCACAGTTTTGAAGTTGATCAACACATGTATTTGTTAATGAAGAAAATCTTTATGTAATCAATTTATTTTTAAAGTTTACAAAAAAAAACACTTGAGTAGAGCTAATTACCATTGTGCTCAGTAAATAAATAGGTTCAAACTGTTTCTGTAAGCTATACTTTAAAATAAAATAAAAAAACTCCCATTTATTGTTCGTCATTTTATTTCAACATATGGTGCCAATCCGTTATATTCCATTATGGGTTTTCAAAGTGAAGAAATTTGGATGAGGTATAGGGTTAATGTCAGTTACCAAATCAATTAAGTCATCTATCACCTAAAAATTCACTCATTTGAGCATAATATGCCATCTGAAATAGCACCTGATTCTGGAAACGAGGGAGCAGTGTCCTGTCCTCAGTTTCATACAGAAGCTCATTATGTGTGAGAAAAACAGGACATTCATTTTAATAATGCTGCTCTTGTTTCGAAAATCAAACACCTGTACTATTTATCCAGTCTCATTCATGAACTGAAGCATCCATAAGAATTATTAATAATGGGATTGGATGGGATGGAATGTCTAGTCCAATCTCTGCATTTTATTGGAGAACTAGAATATCAAATGCAAAGGAATAAAACTTATAGCTTATATAGGTTTCTGGAGGTGGCAATTTCAAATTTTTGAATTAATTGCAGTAATAAACATTTTTCTGAAAACACCTAGGGTTGTTTGGAAACTATCTGACTGATATAAGTTATTCCAATTTTTCATAACAGAACAAGATGTACATACAGGGTCATTTGCCTAATTTTCACCAATAGGTAACTTCTTTACTTGAGGTTTTTGAGGCATGGTTTAAATTTGACAATTAGCGCCAGAAATTGGTACCGGGTACACAGGGTGTTCCAGTGTGGACCGATAAGTCGCATATTAAAATAAGCGGCATCTTTACCAGAAGAAATCGCCACTATTGTTGCCAAATAAATTTGTATCAAATAGAAATTATAAAGATGTCAGGTCGTAGGTCCATTAACTTTTGGTGTGGTACCTACTACTTTTAACTATTGTATTTTGTAACCTCTAGTTTATGAGAGGAGTTTGACGGGTGAAAGACAATTTCTAACCAGCGAAATTGAAGGCTATTTGGAAGAAATCCCTCTAGCTACCAGAAACAAACAAGAGAACGGAGGCCATTCCAATTCATAATACAAATTTCGTAAACAGTTGAAGATGGGTATAGAACATAATACATAAAAAAGATCTAGAATTTTCTGAAGAATCCAAAAATGTAATAATTTACAGGGTGTTCCATTTAAAAAAAAAGTATCATCGTTCTGACATTTCTTCATGGAACACGAATATCAAACCCGAAACCAACAAGTACAGTCGTGAGCATAAAAAGTGGGACACCCGACTGACAGGTCTTGTCATTTTTCGCTATTTTGGGTAAATCAGACTTTTCTCTACAATGGATTTTTTGTCAAATATGACAATCCCTGTAAGTATAGCTGAGGAGCTCGTTTTACAATAGGAAAAAACGGGTGTCCCACTTTTTGTGCTCACGACTGTACCTATGTGACACTTTTTAATAACATCTGTCAAATTCAAATCATGTGTCAAAATGTGGCCAATGACCTTATTGTACTTATTTGAACTCATTCACTATTAATTTCATCTACGATTTCGTGCTGTCACCTTGTCCTTATTTATCGCAATCATCTTCTCTATTTCGGCAAGATAATTGTTGACATCTTTTTCGATTTGTGCTGCCACATCATCCGTGGTACCAAGATACCGCTCTTCAAATTCTTCATAATGTTTTTGCCGTTCTGCGCGATATTTTTCAATTTCTATCTCGGCTTCTTCTTTTGCTTGCTTAATTCTTTTTGCTTTACCTAAAAGAAAATGTTTATGTGTTTTTATATTATTATTCTATTCCAATTAGAAAGCCACAGCCACAATGACTTAGGTTTGGCGTTTTTTTCTCAAACGTGAACTGTAGGTACTCTGGCTAGGCTGAAATCTATTGAACTTATTTAGAATAGGTATCAATTAAACTGACAAAACACAAATAGCACTGGTGGCTCACTTCACATGATTTTTTTTTATTGATAACCTATTTTAGTTATTTAAAGTACTCCTCAGCGTGTTTAAATCCAACATTCAAAAACGCGCGTGCTTTAAAGTTATCATGACAACATCAACAACCCAAGAAAGGTAAAGTCTAAACGTCAACTTTTTAATGATTGATTTGTCAAGAGTACCTGTAGATAACGTCAAATAAAATATAACAAGTGTTAAGCACGAATTTAGAATTCTACAATTATTAGTAATTTATGATTTGAAATTTTTGATTTTGAAAATTTGAAAAATCGCGCGTTTTAAAGACCTTAATATCCACTTATACTTTAATATACTATTATGCACGATCGGGCGGTAAATTCAACTTACCACGATTCTACACCCTACCTATTTGAAAGAAGTCCTTGGTTTCTGACACATTAAATTTTACTCTGTCAAATGCTTTTGTAAAAGAATCAGGGCTGGAACTCTGTAATGGATAGAGATCGTTATCCCTAGCGCTATGGCACTTGCTGTCTTCTTCTCTCTTGTCGAAATGAATAGAGAGGAGACGTCAATAGAGATAGAGAAAATATCTCTATTCGTTACAGAGTCCCAGTCCAGCTGACATCTTCTGAGTTGGCATATATTCTAATTTAAGGATTCCATTATTTATTTATTTTTTCAAGAAATTATGACGAACATCTATATGCTTCGTTCTGGATTGATAACGCCTATTTAGTGCCAATTTCTGTGCTGCTTGGTTATCCACGTATAACAATATTGGTTCTTCAATGCAAATAAAATCTGTTCTGAGACCTCTCATCCATAGAGTCTCTTGTGCTGCCATTGCCATGCTCATATACAGGGTGTCCCACGGTGGATGGCGTATTAGACGTTTATGGAGAACTAAAAAGCGGATCATTTTGAAAATTTGGCAACCGGGATAAACGACCATGATCTACACTTTAAAAATATTTTTGACCATGCGGTGTTGCCGCTTCTACTCTAAACTAGTGGCAACATCACTATTTTAAATGGAACACCCCATATTAAATTGCATATTTTGATTCTACGTAAAATTCTAAGCAGATTTCATGTGATATACCCTATACCGAGGGGTGCGACACTTCGCTAATATATTGTACAACCTTTGGATAATCGCGGATAATCTATACTAATATCAATAATCCTATGATAATCCATTAATATCTACTAATACCAAGACTAATACTGGTAATATTTCATGACTTTTACAAAATACCTGCTAATTTTATATAATACTAATAATATGAACTAATCTACAAATCCCAAAATAGTTCACTAATTCATATTAATTTTATAATATCGAATAATATTGGACTAATATCTAATAATTTTATAATATTGCTGCGGCAAGAGATATCTATCGACTATATTTGGATTTTTTTTGCAATCCCAGTCTATGGGTATCTTTCTTTATTCCACAAAAGAAACAAGGACACCAATAGTCACAACTCTTAGTAAAGTTATTGAACACGTGTGTATTGTGTTCGCACTTGTTCGGTGCATTTCGTATTTCGCGGCGTATTATTGATGATCAAATAGATCTAAAAAGAATCAGGAATACCTATTCTTCAGAGTATGTAAACTTTCCACTGACAAAAAAGATTGATGATCTCTGTCGTTGGTTCAAGTTAAATAAAAACGGATTGCTCTATTTAGAATAGAAGAAAAACATAATTTTGTACCTTAATAGTTATTTATCTACAAGCGTGCGGTAACTAAGGTATATTACGCGATTTTGCGTGCGGTAAGTACCCTATTACCGCACGGCGTGCGGTAATATTATTACCGCACTCTCTACCTACATAGGTACATACCTTCAATTACCTACCAGAGATAAATTACCTACCTATCACCTGAATTCTACTGGTTCACTGCCAAAGATGACAGACGCAATCTTATTTTCTATAATTTTTTAAACTTTTTTCTGATATTTTGTTACCGCACGCTTGTACATAAAATACTGAATATAATACGTATGGTAATTAGGTTATTACCGCCCTTAGAGATTGCAAACCTCGCCTCACCGGCTCGGTTTGCAAATTTCTCTTGCATGCGGTAATAACCTAGTTACCACACTTATTATATAATATACTATTATGTACTGTTCCGGAACCTAATTTTGAAAATAACAAGCAATATGTACCATCGTCACCAAAAGTAACTGGGACAGCATCATGTTAGCTCTTGTACTATTATATGATTTTAGGTGTCAAATTAGGGTTGCCACCTGTCCTTTTTTTGAAAAGGACAGTCTTTTTTTCAAACAAATTGTCCTTGTGACTTTTTAAACCCTCAAATGTCCTTTTTAAAAACTATTTCGATAAGTACCACTATTTGTCGGGACGAATTTATTCGCACTCACAGCAGCACCGGTGCAGCCTGCGAGCTTCCTGAAACCCAGTCCCAGTGCTGGTTTTTTGAACGCACTTGGTACGCAGTATACCTAGGCCGAGTTCGTTTTTGTCATCTTTTTCGTCGATTTGCTCAGAAATTTTGAAAGGCACATGATTTGTAAACTGAACTGTCTTATCCAGTCACGTGCCTGTCAAAATTTCGGAGCAAAAAGACGAAAAAGATGACAAAGACGAAAAAGATGACAAAAACGAACTCGGCCCTAATTATGTGATTTGTGAAGAATAAACAATAATGGCCGTTTCCACCAACTATTTTAGGTGAGCCTTAACGATAAGTATTCCCTAAAATGACATTTTCACATGGAGAAATGTCAGTTTAAGGAATACTTATCGTTAAGGCTCCCTTAAAATAGTTGGTGGAAACGGCCATAAGTTATCCCAAATATACAATTTTGTTTTTTTTTTTGGTATCCTGTCTTGGAATGTCCTTTTTTCACTTTTAGAAAAGGTGTCAAATATTTGTCAAATTATGAATTAAATGCATTGAAAGGAATGACAGCTAGTAGACTTAGTCCAGGAGATTAATATGATTTTTTTTTGTCCCACATACTTTTGGTGACGATGGTACCTATCTGCAGAGTTCGTCGAAATTATTATTGATTTATTTATTGCTAAAAAACCAAGAAATTGAAAAATTCATGAATCTGAAAAATCATCAAGTGTTTCTAGTGTTGATGGTTTTTCAGATTCTAGTGAAGACTTAGATGGAATTGATGACGCAGCTAGTACTGCAAGTTTTGAATCTAATTCAAAACAAAATCCAGTGGAATGGGAAAAATATTATGCTATTTATTGATGACACCTCCTATATTATTGGCAAAGCCGAGTCAATTCTGAATAATAAAAATATTCGGTTGAAATTCTTGAAACAATCCCTGGATAAGTTTTATTGACCAGAAAAGGTAGAATACCAAAGTGTACAGTCTAAATTTATTTTTCACGGTCCAATATTAGTCCCCAGTACATCGACCTTAAAATTTTGTAACTCATGTACACGCCCAACTTCCTGAGCGGCTTCATAACACCAAGTCGGACAATATTTTTCATGTCTCCACCCTGGGCGATGGGACATTGCTGCGCTAGCTCTTCGTGAAGTTGTCGTTCTGACGTCCCTAAGGAAGTTGATACATATACGTGTGGTTTCAATGCCAATCGACTGTTTTTTACATTACATTAACGATATCACATTTGTCGGACAAAAACCATGTGGCTTTGGGGAAGGTCCGACACCCTCAACATGTCGCTGTGGCGTCCCTGAGGAAGTTGATACATGTACGTGTAGATTTAATGCCAATCGACTGTTTTTTGTATTACATTACCGATATCATATATGTCGGACACAAATCACGTGGCTTCGGGGGGCTCCGACGCTCTCAACATGTCGCTGTGGCGTCCCTAAGGAAGTTGATACATGTACGTATGTTTTTAATACCAATCGACAGTTTTTTACATGACATTAACGATATCACATTTGTCGGACAAGAAATTTGAGACAATCAATGAAAAAATTAAAATAAGTTTGCCTTAACGCAACGTGCATATTAGTCAGTTTATTATTTACCTACTTTGTCAAATACCTGTGGGGCCCTGTGACATATTCCCTGATCTGTTTTTTTGATAGTTCTCCGAGTATTTACGGAAATTATTTAGTAAACGCGGTCATTCAAAACCACGCGTGTGAGAAAGAATGGATATTCAGTCGTGTTTTTTGTGCAATCTCAGGAGTGAAGATCCTGAATTTCGGCAGAAATTGATCAATAGGACTTTTGTTGTCCGACTGACTTTGATACTCATTTTATTTGTCCGACATTTACTACACATGTTTTAAAATTACATTGTTATTCATAATTATTTTTGTCGGACATACATGTATCAACTTCCTTAGGGACGCCACAGCGACATGTTGGGGGCGTCGGACCCCCCCAGAGCCACGTGATTTTTGTCCGACCTATGTGATATCAATAATGTAACATAGAAAACAGTCGATTGGCATCAAAACCACACGTACATGTATCAACTTCCTCAGGGACGCCACAGCGACATGTTGAGGGCATCGGAACTTCACCAAAGCCACATGGTTTTTGTCCGACAAATGTGATATCGTTAATGTAATATAAAAAACAGTCGATTGGCATTGAAACTACACGTACATGTATCAACTTCCTTAGGGACGTCAGAACGACAACTTCACGAAGAGCTAGCGCGGCAATGTCCCATCGCCCAGGGTGGAGATATGAAAAATATTGTCCGACTTGGTGTTATAAAGCCGCTCAGGAAGTTTGGCGTGTACATGAGTTACAAAATTTTAGGGTCGATGTACTGGGGACTATATCTTTAGACGGGTTTGATACCTTTCTTATACAGAGATGGGA